CGTGGCATGAAAGTAGGAATTTGCTTATGTCAACTGGAAGTAAGGAGATTGGAAGAAAAATCCACCCAACGACGAGCTAGCCTGGGATGCAAGCATGCCACAACTCCAACCAACCTTACACCAAAAATCAGTGACGTAACAATATGTAATCGTTTGTATGTAAGTACATATATATAAATTATGAAAATCAAACATCAAAATTAGACACATAAACATTGCTTATTGTTGTATTGTTGTTAGCCAAAACAAATTTTTGAAAGAATTCCCTCGAGAGGAGGTCTGATCAAGTATACAATTTTTTTGTTTACCAATTTTTAATGAAAATGTGATTGAAAATCTCTCAAATAAAAATTACTTATCATTTAGCCAAATGCCTAATAATAAGATTCATATCCAACGATCTTCGCCCGACTTTCTCCACCGTTATTTAAAATAATGAAATTTTGAGTGGCTGGATTTAAATGTGACCGTAAGAGCTTCGGAGGCGATGTATGTACACATTTGTTACATATTAATTTGACATTTAGATGTAAGGCGGCGCCTGCGCGTTCGGTGCCACGTTTATTCGCGTTAGACCAAAAATTAATGAACATGTCCGACGCTCTGTTGACGGAGTTTAAGCGCAATAAATGCGAGTTTTGGCGTCGGTAAATTACTGTAGGCAGATTTCGGATATTCCATTACAGTTTGGACTGCCTGACCATCCATCTCACTCACCGGATGTAACACCAAACGACTTCTTCTTCTTTCCTCGTCTAAAATTGAGCTCGGAGGATAAAGAATTTCGTCAACACAGGGAAACACGTCCAATACTATTTGAACTGGTAACAGAGGTAGGAGCATCGTTAGAGGGAGCATGTAGAGGAGGAGTCTATGTACGTATATATGTTGAAAAAAAATTGAAAGTTTTTTCAAAAAAGGTCTAATGATTCATCAATTTTTGAGGTCTTTAAATTTTCTTAAGAAAATATCTTATGAGCTGCCAATAGAAAAATTGTGAATTTTTGCTTGATTTGTTTGGTTTTAAATTTTTGATATAAAATTTCAATTATTTTTTTTATCTCAAAAACAATTTCCTGGAACTGTAAAATCTTTGAATTTATTTCTTTTTTTATTACAAATTAAAAAAGCATTTCAACATTTCAAAATTATTCGTATTCATGTAGATACCCATACATGCGCGTTCAACTTGAGAAGAAGGCTAAGTTGTTAGCCAAAGGGTTCGCTTTATAGCGCAGTTTTTTCTGTTACGATTCCTCATTTTACCGCTAGAGTTTCTCCCCATTTTTTGGTGTGCATCTTCATTTTACCAATAAATGTCTGATGGATTTGTGCAAGGAGCTTTTATTTTATTTTAGAAATATATTCCATAATTTCAAATGTTTGGTCAGAGCTAGACTCAAACCCTTGTGGCTAAGATTATTTTGACTGTTTTCATTGCGTAGTACAGTGCGCAGGTTATTTTCTGACAGTTTTACCTTTGAACCTTTGATGTCCACATTCCTCGAGGAAGCTGTGCCACTGAATTGCTTACATTAATCTCGGTTTTATAGTGCCTTTATGGCCTTCGCGGCACACTTTCCATGATTGGATACTTAACTGTTATTATCCATCTACTTTTACGGTGGAGCGCCTGTTGAAAGTAGGTTTCGGGAATATTGGGAACGTCCTAGGTTGTGATTGTTTAATGGACTTATTCATAGTCCACCGAGCCACATCTTGTGAAATGCTTCAGTCACATCAAGGAAAATTGACGAGCAGAGTTCGCCGAATTCGCAAATGTCTCTGACTGGAATTTGGAATGATCACAAACTTTATTAACTGAATTTTATTTTAGACTCTACCCCTGCTACCTCTTCGAGATACAAAATCTAACGAAAAGTAAAAAAAAAAATTTTTAATTTTTAATGCTTTTCTGAATTTGTTTATTCAATTTGATTTGGATTTTTTTAATGCTTCTCCCACACACAATTATATATACATATATGTATGTGTTTGCACATTCACTATACGATTTCATTAATGTAAGTATTTTTATTTATGATTTACTTACACGCTTATTTTTCACATAAATATTTAATTTTAATTGTTTTTTAGTATTTTTCATTAAGCAGCTACATTTAATTTACTTAAATAATTTTTTAATACTTTTATAAGAAATTGTAGTAGTTACAATACCGTTATGCAGCTATAAAGCGTTAGACATTCTTTATTTATTTAATTGTTTTCTTGGTTTTTTTATTAAATATTTATTTTACTAAATCCTAATAGAAAAGCGAGGACCTGCCAGGATACAGAGCTGGCAAGGACACTTTCGTATTTCTAGAAACACACTGAGATACGTTTTTGAACAAACAACATATTTTGCATAAATTTACATATACATACAAAAAAAGCTTAAGGAAATTAAATTATAATTTACAGTTATTTGATTTTCTTTTTTTTTTTTTTTGGAAAAACAAAATTTACAAAAGCTGTATACGCACTCAACTGACCGCGAAGTTCTTACATCCGAAACTTGAAAATTTTTTTTCTATGAAATTCGCTGGAAACATCTGTTTTGGAACCAGCTTTCTAGTATCACGCTTACACAACAAAAGCAACAAAAACTGAATTTTTCAACTCAAATTAACTACTTAAACAAAGTTAATAATAAATTACATGAGAATAAGTTAATTCATTTCTCCTCCGCCGCCTCCCTTGCTTCATTTCATTCCCAGCCTCCTCAACGCGAATCACCGGCTGCCCTTTAATACTGTTTTCGGCGCACTCAAATCAACAACAACAATTAACACTTGAAATCACCGCCACCCGCTTAATTGTGAGGACTGCGCGTCTGTGGTGGCGCCGTCAGCGTCTGCTGCTGTTGATGTTGCTGCTGGTGTTGCGGCACTTGGTAGGGGCTGAAGCGTTGAAACTGTCGCGGTCGCATGTCGGGCGAGGGCGAGCCGCCCGACGACGTGGACGATGGTGTTGACGCAGTTGGCGGCGGTGGTGGTGTACGGTTAGCAACGGCCGCCGCCGCCGCAGCAGCAGCAGCTTGTGCCTGTGCTTGTGCTTGAGCTTGTGCTTGCGCTTGCTGTACTGCGGCAGCCTGAGCGGCGGCCGCTTGCTGATTAGCGCTAGCCAAGAAGCCCGCCGTCAGTTGTGGCCATTGCTGTTGGAACATGTGGAATGCGCCGAGTCCGGGTGGTGGGGGCGCCTGCTGGGCATACATTTGTGGCATCATCAGTTGAGCATATGGGGAATTACCACCGAACATTTGCAGATGCTGGCGTGCCTTCTCGAAGATGGCCATCGAGGTGGGATCGACGCCTTGCTGTGCGGCAAACTGTTGCATCAGCGGGTCGGGAAAGAGGCGCAACGGTGAGCGTAGTTGTTGTTCGAGCAATAGCGCCTCCATGGGATCGCGATCGAAGTCGGTAAGGCGTGACGAATCGCGGAAACCTTTGGCGAAGGGATTGGAGTCGATTTTCAATTTGGTTATAAGTTGGTTTTGATATGCGGTGACGGCGGTGAAGACGGTTTCGGGGAATACATACGTCTTGTGGTCGAGCTCTTGCAACTCTTTGGGGTTTGTCGGTATGCTCTGGCCATGACTGAGGCGCACCAAGTGTATGCGTGGTTGATAGCGGTGCATAGAGTTCAAAACAATCTGAATGGAGAAGGGAGAGAGGAAACAAATATATATGTATATTAGTATATTAGTAATATAGTTTGTGCGTAAAAAAAATATGTGTAGAGTTTTTTGTCAGTGGCGCTGAGTTGTATTGGCTTGGGAGTGCGTCTGCGCAGTGAGAAGTCTCCAAAAATATAATTGTATGTATGTAGGAGACAACACAAGAAGTTAAAAACATTTACCGCTGTTGAGCCAAAGGTGGTTGGTGGGCAAAAATGAAATCACAATGGCGTTCAGCTCGGGGTCTTTCAAGCAATTTAAACTCTTTCTAATTAAAAAGTAGCTGTAAACAATAATTGGGGAAAAATAAGCGATAAGTTCTTGCTAAAATTTAAAATTAAAACTTTCACTTTTAATTGGACTTCGTATTAAAGTATTAAAGTAGGTATGTATGTATCTTTCAATTTTTCGAACCGCTTGTTTCTCATACAAAAACAGAGGTTCTCTTAAATTTGATGAAAAATCAATAATAAAATAAATATTTAAATTAATAGAAAAATCTTCAAACTAAAATAAACTAAAGAATGATTAAAAAAAATTAAAGACCTTAAAATGTTTATTTTTTTAAATTAATTTATTAAAAATTAACGATTTTTTACCATTATTAATGAAAATTATGTAGGAAATCTAAATTCAAGGCAAAGTTTTGTTGCTACTTTCTCATAATTTGACAAAATAATTCGGTTTAAGCTTAAAATCAGATCAGTTAATATTTGAAAAGTTTTTATACAGTTAAAGAAAATTTATTTTTTTGTTATGCCGAAACAGAAAAATGTGATTTTTAGTAGAAAGAAATATTTTATGTCGTAAGTTAAAGATTTTTTGCTGCATTTCTTATTTTTTTTTTTACTTAAATACCAAGTAAAATTCATAAAATTCTTGACAGTTTTTGTATTTTTTCTAAAAATAATTTTTTTTATTCGAATAAAGTTCAAACGAAGCTTTGCTTTTATTCAATTATATCACAAGCCGAGCTGCCAGAAACAAACATTTTACCAAAAAAAAAAAAAAAAAAAAAAAAAGCAAAAAAAAATAAAAGTAAAAAAAGTTAATTAATTTAGTATTAGCTAAAATTTTTTTTAACATTTTCCCCAGTTTCTTATATTTTTAAAATATCTTTCATTCCTTCCATTTCATTAATTGATTTTACTCAATGAATTTGCGCTCTTTCCTGATGACAAAAAACAGCAAGCCAACAACGTTTGTAATAAAATCATACCTACATACATATGTATGCATGTATGTAAGTTTACACATATGTATGTACACATTTACATGAACTAAAAACTCACCTGTCCATTTTTATCCATTTCATTATTAGTCAACTTCACCTTCTCAAAGGAGATAACCTGTTTACGCAGCGCCTCACAACTGAACGGACTGTCCGGATGCGCATAGAGACGTGCTGGCGGTGCGGGATCAGCCTTGCCGGCGACTAGCCAAGCCGAGCGATGATACGCGTAGCGATAACGCTTCGAATCCATCGGTATGATATCGATTAGCACGGCATAGCGATCGGCAGGTTGTATCTGCCGCAGCGGACCGGAGAAGCTGACGCGTACGGTGGGGAACATGCGTCTGCAAGGAGAGAAGTAGAAGAAGAAGAATGTACAATATAATAAGGGAAAAATATGGAAAATATATGAGCAATTATGAAAAAATGTACGTGCCCGTATAAACAAAGAAGATGAGAAAAAAGGCAAAACATATGACTGATTTTAATGGCATCAAGAATGCTGTGATTTTTATTATCCATCTGTGAGCATGTGTGTGCTCGTGTGTGTGTTTGTCCGGTGGTTATTGAGGTGATAAAATCGAAATGTGTGGGCAAACTCGCCCAAGTTGTTGGCACCACAGGTTGCCATAATGTCTCTAACAACACAGCTAAATGGTGGCCTCAGAGCCACGCCAGGTATCTACATGCACACATATATAGATATATATATTATATGTCCATTTGTATGCATATGCACACTTGTGTCTCACAGCCCGTTTGTCTGCGCGGAAATCCTTAAATTTATGCCTCAAATCCTTTCCTCTTCATAACTAAAAGACTCGCTTCGCTCCCATTGCATTTGCTTTCTTTTTTTTTGTTCTTCTTCGCTCTTTCTTCTGCCCTTAACTAGTGTTTATGTATGTATTTTCATTATCCATTACACCTTTGTTTGGTGTAAACAAATCGAATTGTATTATTTTTCTAGTCTCGACTTTTCTTCTTCTTATTGTTTTTATTGTTATTATTTTTTTTTTGTGCATTTTTCGTATTTTTTGTTTTCTCTTTTGTATTGCCTTCACGCCAAGAAGTCAATGACAACTATCTGGCGAATATCCTGCGGTTTTAATGTTCCTAATACTCAAGACAAACATATTGACCAACAACAACAACCACAACGAAGAGAGAAAATAAAAAGGAAAAACAGGCAATAAAGCGAACAATAGAAGCAGAAACAACAAATAAAAGTTATGTGAGCTGATTGTCAGCATGAGCAGAGCGACTAGATGACATAACTATAAACAGCAACAACAACAACAACAACAACAACAACAAGAACAATCACAGAGTATGTTAAACAACTGAGCTCGAGAGAGCGACAGGAGCCCTGCTTAGCAAGGGGAGGAAGTACAATGGTAAATTGAATGCCTGACACGCTGGCTTGCTGACTCTCTGACTCGATGGCTGGCTGGCTAAATACATTACGGGGACCGCCCTGATTGTTAGGTGTGATTTTTACAATATCATTAAATGTAAACGCAGAAAAGTCCATTTGTGTGTGCGTGAGCCTCTACATATACACATATCTGCGTACGTATGTATGTGTGTAACTGCGTGTTACCAATAAACAAGTCAGCGAGGCTGCCTGCCGGTGGTTGTTTCATTCCTGTGGTTGCAATATCTCGACCACCACCAAAAAGCAACAACAAGCGGAACAACAACAATTGCACGAAGAGCTCAAGAAGTGGTGAGGTAGTTGAGTGGCTGGTAGATTTGCTTCCTGCCTAAAAAGTCACATCCATTCATACACACATACGTAGATATTTATATAATACAATACATATGTACATATATTTGGTTTGCATTGCGTATTTCTCATCGCTGTTATTGTTGGTGTTAGTGTAAATTGTTGCGTGTGTGGTCAACGACATAAAAAGAGATCCATTTTACGACAGCCAATATTACTATGTACAAAGCTGAGTATGTACAAAAACATAAAAATCGCACGACCCCCTCCTGACGGCTGTTTTGCTGTCCTCGAGAAATCAAATGCAAAAATATAACACAAAAAGAAAAACCAAAGAAAAACATGAGCGAAAGTAGAAGAAAAGAAAACAGCATTTGTTGATTGTGTTTGGTTTTGTTGTTGTTATTATTGCTAGTTGACAAACAGTACGCCCAACACCGCTCTTTAATCTGGCTAAAAGCATATTGTTAACAAAGATTGATTGTCTGAGATATTCGGAACGCTCGAACGGACAGACACACACAAACGGACGGACAGGCGGACGGACAGGCGGACGGACAGGCGGACGGAAGGACAACTCATCGATTTTGTCCCAAATACTGACATTTTTGTGTCACACCAGCTGTTATCACACTTTTTACTGGTCATCTCAGTGCGGCAACACTACTGACTTCGTTACCATAGTTGGCTCCTTGAATTGGACCGCACACGTGCAAAAATTTCACAGAGAATTTCCGAGAAATATTATATTTGCTGAGGTCTGAAAGATGTAATTGTTTTTTGAAAGAGTGGAAAATTGTAGAAAATTTGATGTTGGTTTTCGATTTCTACTGTACTTTGCTGCTTGAAAGAAAAGGGAGAGGCGTAGAGAGAGTGGAGAGAATATACACATTTGTTTAACTGGGGTAATAGGTATCGAGCAAAAGTTATGAAAATACCTGGAAAATACAGGTTAAATGCAATTCTGGAACAATTTGGGCGCTGCGATTTTCATTTATGAAATTATGAGCGACAGTAGACGCTTGAGGTCGTATATAGGGGTAAGAGAAAGCAATATTTCTTGGATCTAAGTTTGGAATACACAGAAAAACTGACGCCGAGTTGACTTGGAATTCAGCTGCGGATATTCACCTTGCAAGTCGGTAAGAAACTTTTATTAGGCGGTTCTATGGAACTCAAATTCATCCACCAACACATATATATTATATATATATATATTGTATTACAAAAGTAGAAACTCTCACTTTAAAACGTAATTCATTGATAAAAATCATTTTTTATTCAAACTCATGGTAATTTTCTCGAACTCTTAGACCGCTCAAGCCGACGCGCGTTCAAATGTTTTCCCACCGCGAGAGAGTTCAACAAGAAATATGCTTTTAGCGCACCATTTAACACACAGTGGTGGGTCCGGTCCTTTAATCGCCGTTATTCGTCGCTTGTAGCATTTGGGGAATTAACTCGGAATGAGAAAAGGATTAAAATGTCTTGCCACATGCAAACCTGCCGCTGTGTTGCACTGCAATTTCGATACATTTTTTTTGTGGATTTTATTTTATTTTAATTTCGCTGTCGTTACATTTTGATCGTTTATATATTTCTTGTTTTATTATTTGTTATTGTTGTCGTTGCTTCATGTTATCCGTTGCCGTTAATCTACTCACATTACAAGGTAATTTGTTGTAAAATAAAGCAAAAAGAAAAAAAACAATGAAATAAAAGTAAAAAAAAAACACACAAATAAATTCTGGTAGTAGCAAACAAACGGAGGGAGGAAGAGAGAGAAAGTTCAATTTCTACCCGGAATTGGGAACCGTTTGCCGCGCAACAACAAAAAAAAACAAAAGCCTCTAGTCAAGTGTTTATTGCCACGAACGCGGCATGACGCTACTGCAGGCGGCGAGTTTGGCGGTTTATCGCCTGTTTGCCGCGCTAGAACCAGCCGCCGGTGCTGCATCTTCACCCTCGCGCTTCACTGGCGGCACGAAAAAACCGCACTAATGCAACATTTGCATGTTTGCTCAAAAGACTACGTGCAACATCAGCGACAACTACAAATGCTTATGGACGAGACACATATGTATGTACTTTGTACATATATATATGTGTGATGTATATATAATATGGGCAATATGTATGTATACGGCTAGTGGTTGGTAAAACCTCCCCACCAACCAAGGGCGCAACCAAGCCCATCACAGCTGCCATCTTTCGAAAAAATAATAATAATTTTATAACCTCATACATATTTGTTTAAATACTCGCATCGCTGCCTCACATACCTGCCCGTTTTAGTGATAATCATCTCGGTGCCCAAATCGTGAAAGCGATCCCAAAGTTCTTTTGTCTCCAAATGACATTGCACCGGCTTGAGTTCATCACAGTTGCAGGAGCCAACAATTTTCGGTGTCTTCTGCACCGGTTCGGGTGTTAGGCGTTCCTCGGTATCGGTTCCCGGTGATTGTGGTGGCGTGGAACGTCCTTGACTGCTGGTTGTACTGCTATTGAGATGATTTTGTGATGAACTGCTGGTGTTATTGTGATTATGACTATTATTATTGTTGTTGTTGTTATGGTGAATTCGGCGCACTTTGGTTGGTGGTGGCTCCTCGGAATCGCTGCAATCGACCACATCGACGTCGACCTCATCCTCAACGGAGATGGGACCTGTAAAGTAAGAAGAAGAGAGCATACGTAAGAAGAGGCTAATACAGACACATATTAATTAAAGGACATTCAGAGACATACAGAGCTTCATTACTAATTTGATAAATTCCTAAATAAAAATTGGAAAAAGAACCAAAAAGTATACAGAAATATCAAATTAAAAATAAAAATACAAAAAAATAAAAATAAAAAAAAAACAAATTAAAAATAAAAATACAAAATTTGTTTTTTTTTGTTTTATTGTATTCAGTTTTTTGTACAATAACTTTTTAAATTAAATTATTTTATTTAACTTAAATTTTCTTTAAATTAAAATAAATATAATAAAATGATTTCATGTAAAAATATTATTGTAAAAAAAAAACTGAATAAAATAAAATAAATTAAAATAAAACAAAATAAAATCCAAAAAATATAAAATTCATTAAATTATATTAAAATAAAAACAGTTAATAATATGAAATTTAACTTAATTAAACTAAATGTAAAAAAAATTAGATTAAGTTAATTACAAGTATTAAACATAAAGTAAAACCAAATGGAATGAAATAAGATAAAATAAAATATAAAATAGAAGATATAACGAAATAAAGTACATTAAATTAAAAATAAATAATATTAATTAAAATAATATATAAAAAAATAATATGAAAAATATTAAAGAAATTAAAAATTAAATTAAATTAAAGTAGAATAAAATGGAAAATAAGGAAAAGAATTAATTAAATATTTTTTTTGAATTTAAAATATAATTTAAATAAATAAAAGATAAAATATATTGAAAGCAAATAAACTAATGTGAAATTGTTTGTATGCCAACATTGTACAAATTAGCTGCTAATTAATTTTCACAGCCTTTCAAATTTTGCTTGAAATAATTGTCTCAATTTTTCACACATTTCCTTCAGTTTTCTTGCGTTTAAAATTACGGCCAGCAGACTCATAAATACATATAAACATACTTATTTATGTGTGCGAGTAAACAATATTGGCAATAAATGCCCCATCGAGTAATGATTACCCGCTTTTAATTACTTGGTGTAAATTGTCAAGTGTAGCAACATTTCAAGCTACAACTGCTGCACTTGTTGCTGTCACATATAAATTTCAATTATTTATAATTGTGCTAAATACAGCGGCAACAAAAACAAAAACATGAACAATATATGTATATGCAATAACTGCATAGATGAAATAACATTAATTATAGTAGTAACAAAAACCGACGTCAACAGCAGCAGTGGCATATGCACATATCGACAGAGAAAATTACAATAAAAACAGCAAATTTTACAATAATTATTTTTTTTTTCTTCGCACTTATTATTGTTTATCCATATGAGTATTGTATATGTATGTATGCTTTATGCGTTTTTTATGTGCGCATGTATGTATGTGTGTATGTATTTACATATAAATCGATTTAAATGTAATTATTTCCAGCATTGCGTAGCAACTTCGCTTTTCATTTGTTCGTTGGCAAGTTTTTCTCTCAGGATTTCAATTAATTTTTTTTTGTTTTTGCTATTATCTTAAGGTGTGAAGTTCATTAGAGTAGAAAAAGTTTGAGTTATGATTCAACACCGTTCTATGGCGCGCCTTTCAGTTTTTCCTTCAATGTTATTGTTATTGTCATGTTGTTGATAATTTATTTATTGCTGATTTGTGATTTGTGTGTTGTTAGCAGTTATTAAATTAAGTGACAAAACCACATACACACTCATATTTTACCCTGAGCGATTTTATTCTTACCAAGTGATTGTTATCTATGAATATATGTGTATATTATAATTATAAAAACAAAACAAAAAAAGGTAATTCTAAAATATGTAATAATATATGAAAATATAAATAAATATGAGTGCGTTTTCAAACTGCTGAGCTTTATGTTGTCTCTTGAATTTTTATCAATATTTTTTTTTGCATTTTTTAGATGTTGTTTTTGTCCAAGCTTGACTGAATGTTCTCAGGCGTCAGTATACGGAGTCAGTGACAAAAGGGCTCGGCAATCAATAAAGTTACCCAAATTTAATACGAAAATTTAATACGAAAACTTGATTTTCTAAACATATAAGTTCTGAATAAATTAATTGATAACTGAGAAGTTCTTGAATATTTTTGCTTTAAAAACTATATTGGATTTATTATAATTGGAAAAAAATAACTATTGGATATCTTATACCACTGTCCATATATTATATACCATAAAATTGTATTTTATTTTAGAGTGGAGAGTGGTGAGTGGAATTAAATCGGAAATATTTTCTCGAAACTTTTCGTTTACAACTTTCGAAGTGGATTAACTCAGCAACAGTACATCGGTGGAGTTAATGCAATTTTTGGCGATGAAGCTCCATCCAGGACCAGTGCTTATCAATGGTATGCTGAATTCAATCGAGATTGTAGTTCAATCCAAGACGAAGTTCGTCCAAAATCTGTTGTTTGTCCGGAAGCTATTGACGCTGTGCGCAAAGTGATATTGCAGAACCGTTACGTGATCTATCGTGAGATTAAGACAACTACAGACATTAGTGGGACCAGCATGCATTCAGTACTGCAAGAACATTTGACTGTATAAAAAATTTGTTCCAGTGTTTCAATAGCTGAAACAAAGGGCATGTGTTAATTAGCCGAGAGAAATGTTGATGAAATAAAATTGCGGCACAAAACATCGATTTAATGAGTCATCCATCGTATAGTCCTGCCTTGGCATCGAATGAAATCTTTTTATTCCCGCACGTTAAAAATTGATTGAGAGCTCAACCTTTTTCGACACCTGGAAAGGTGATTGATGCGTTCAGAACGCAAATTTTGGAGATACCTCAAACAGAGTGGCAAAGGTTCGGCGACAATTGGTTCAAACGCATGCTTAAGTGTATAGACCGTTACTGCAAACATTTTGAAAAACTATAAAGCGACTTTCGATTATTAATATTTGTTTTTGTTCTGCAGTTGCTTCTAAACGATGTGAAAATGTTATTTTTCTTAAATTAATTTCTTTGATTTGATTTCTTTAAAAATTCCGGAATTTAATTTGCATGGTAGCTTTCTTTGAATAATCCCAATTAAGTTGTATTAATTTAAATTTTCTTCTAGCTTTATTTTAAATTCATTTAATTATTTGCTTATAACAACAACATATATATTTACTTCCAGCTTGCATACTGAATATTTGTACATAAGGTGTTTTAGCGTTAAAGAAAAAATTAATAAAAAATCCAAATTTATTAGCAATATACAATTTTTGAAAATTTTAATCAAAAGGTGTTAAAATGCCAATTGAGCGCGCTCAAGCTGCTATTAGCGCAGTTTCAATATGTGAATAATAAAAAATAAATCTATAAATAAATGAAAAAAATATTATTTAAAAGGCTAATCACTTGCTAAAAAACACAAACAAGCAGGTGTACATATATATTGTTTGTTTTATGAATTTTTCATAATTTTAATAAATAAAAAGTAATTAAAAAAAAAAACCACAAAAACCGGCAGCGGCAACCTGAAAAGCTCACCAGGTTGTCGGAGAATGAAGTGAAATAAAAATATCAATAATAAAAAGAATTTAATAACTCTAAGCTAAGCTATTGGGCTGTATGCATGTGTGTGTTTATTAGAAATAAATTACATATGTTTATGCGCTGAGAGTAAACTTGTTGAAATTAAACGAATTTGCTAAAAGACATTAACATAATTATATGGACCTGTGTCTGCGAGATTGTTTATTGTATGTTTAAAATAAAATTATAATTTTCATAAATATGTTTCTTCGAGGTTTGCTTAGCTAATAATACATAAATAATAAGCACGATGTAAAAATGAAAATAAAAAAAATACGAGAAACGTTCAAAAATGCAAATAAAATTCAATTTGACGTTTGATTTTTAGCTCTTGAACAATTTTGTCTGTTCGTAACTACATACATATGTATAATACATGTGAGTGTGTTGGTTTTGGTTTGCTGTTGGCCTACAGCTTCGTTGCGCTCAGCAGTTGATCAGTTACCCGCTGATTTGCAAAGATACAAAACTAAACACTAAATTGCTTACATGCATATACTCGTATGTACATATATAGGTATGTATCATATATATGCACATGTATGTATGTAAATAGTGTTATCTACCTGTCACTGCATGCAGTTAGCTGACATATGTACATATATGTAGATATATGCATGCATAAATGCACTTCTCTGTATGTGTATTGTGTGTCTTGTTGCAAATGTGGTTTAGGCGCTGTGTTGTTGTTGTTTTATATTATTTTATAGTTGTTGCATTGATTAGCGGATGTTGGCACTTTACAACGTGTACAATGTGCTTTTTAATTTAATGCACTGACGCATTGCCTGATTTCTTTCTTCTTCTTGTAAATCAATATCTGCATATGTGCATATGTACATACATACATATATACTCGTAGGTATGATGCCAATTTATGTATTTTACTTGCGGATGGTTTAAATTAAATTAATATTAATTTAAATATATTATGAATTATTAATAAATATATCTACTTATGTATGTATGTACATATAAATATATATATACTCGTACCATCAGCAGCAGTTGTGCCATGAGCTAATTGAGTATATGTATTTTACTTGACGCTGGGAAAAAATATGAAATAGATCAGCGACGAAATTTGAATTGAGAAATTAACTGGAGCTGAGAGGAACTGCTTTTGAGAGCGATTGAGCTATTACATATTATTATTGGTTTTTTGTGGAAAGCCATGAGTATTAATTATTTATATTTTGATCAAAAAGTTACATTCGATAAATTTAAATAATTTGGTGGCACCCAAGTGTGGATTAATTAATGAAAAAAATATTATTCTTTCCTGCTTTTTGAAATTATGAAAACTTGACGTCAAAGAGGCCAGCAGTGGTTTTGGTGTTTTACACAGTTAGAAACGTAGCTCTATTCGACAATATTCTTCATTAAATATTTTCGAAAATGACCGTATTTGAAGAAAAAGCTTCGTATAAGACTACTCATTTCTCATTTCAAACAATGATATAACCGCCAAGCGCCTGCTCTGGAGGCTCTACAGGACGTCTCATACAGCTGCTGCCAATGCTCAACATAGAATTAATTATATTAAAATAAAACTCTTTGCTGAAATAAAGTAAATACTTCACATAAAAATATCCAATATTCAAAATTAATTGCATTTTTTGTTAAAATATACATATTCATCATCAAATAAGAAGCAGAGCATTTTCGTATTTTACGGCATCATTTTTCATTCCGCACCTTAAAGCAACTTTTATATGCTTTTATATATTGATTTATTATAAAAAATGTTAATATAATAACGTTTTAAAATCTGGCAGCACTAACTGTCTTTTTACATTGTCAACATATGTTAAATACCGTTATTTGAAAATACAACAGAGAAAAACTAAAATAATTTTCTAGTTTTTAGATGGCCCAAGCTGCGCCAAATTCAGTATTTCTGCAATTTCTTTGACACTTACAATAAAATTCAATGAATTGTTGGCAGCTTAGAGAGAGATACTTCTATTTTTGAGGGGCGTATCTAAGCGCAAATCTCAACCAAAATTCAAACTTGAGCTTTTAAGTTAACTTGAAGATTGAATATACAGAGTTGCAATGAAACTAAATTATAGCAAAATCGGTTGGGTATAACCCCATTAACAAGGGCTTCATAATATGTGACTAATGCCCAAAGTCTCCAAAGTCTTCCTTCCTCGACTTCCTCACAAAGTCTTCCCTCCTCGACTGATTTGCAATATACACATATTTACATAGAAGAGTAAAGAGCTGCTTTTTCCTAAGCTTTGCAGCATATACGAAATTAAGTTTTTTGAAGCTTAAAATATTTGACGGTTTTACTTTCGTGAGGTTTAATATATTTTGATTGCCACAAGTTGAACAAAATAGAATTTTCAGAACTGAACTTATGTTCCTGCATTGAAATTCAATGGATAAATGAAAAACTGTTTTTTAATATTTCAATAAATCCTAAAATGTATGTATGTACGTGTGTATGCATTATTTAAAACTCAATATGCTATTTTAAAAAGTTTGGTACAAAATCAAACTTTTTGGCAAACATTTAATCTCCAACACTTTGTGTTTGGCGTTCGCATATTTGCAAAAACAACAACATTAACAAACTGATTAATGTTTTTGTTGTTAAAGCACAAATTCAATACAGTTTTTTTTTCAAGAACTCAGTTGAAATTCAAATGTTTTTAAAGTAATAGGATTTTTGTTTCGACGACTTACGAGCCTTTCTGTACCAAACCAAGCACCGACGGTATATCTGACCAAAGAAACTACAATTTCCTCAACTAAATCTAATTTAACAATTAAATTTTATTTGAATTCTACAGCTTTTCAAGAATTTTCTCCAAATATTGTGACCGAAGAACTCTTGTCGCTGAGAAGATAAACGTGTTTTCCACGAATTCTACCTTAAAGCATTCCTAAGCCCTTCTATATGTACTTACTTGCACTGCGTACGGAGGATTCCCTGCTGGAGGCATCCTCTCTGGCCATTATCGCCGCGATGGAGAAATCTGTTGCGGAGCCGGCGGCATTTTTACTACCCGCTGTAGTCTGAGTATGGCTTGGACTATTATTATGGTTGTTGTTGGCATTTGAATTAGTCACAGCCGCGGCAGCCGCAGCGGCGGCGGCAGCAGCAGCCGCGACATTTGGACCAGTCGGCGGTAAGACACCATTGCACAGATACGGATGTGAGCCAACAAGCATTTTGGCAGCCTGGGCGATGTGTGATGTGTGAGAAAAATTAATTTTGCTACACAAATGATCGCGTAAAGCGACTGTCCGTTAGGAAGTATTGACTTAAGCAACTAACGGTGTTATAAAACACTGCTGGTGAACACTTAGTTTTTGTTGGGTTTGGGGTTAGCACATTTTTTTTTTGAAATATATGTAAGTAGTTTTTAAAATTTCTAAATTTCAATTGAAGATTTGTTTGTTTCTAACACCGTTATTCAAAATTAAATGTATTTTGTTGTAGTCACTACTTTTAGAATTTTAATTTTTTTATTTTGCAATTTTTATTGTATTTATTTCTGTCTGTTCCTGAGAGTTTTCACTTTGCAGACGCGTTCCTTCGTCTACTCTTGAGTTGCTTTTCTTTGCAACTAACCGTTAATTCTAATCTCTAAGTACACAATTTTCCTTTCCGTCAAGCAGGAAGAGCACACAAAAAAGAAAAACGCACTTTTTCCTCAACGGCGACGGCGAATGCACGGCGTGTGTGGAGCGACGAAAACGGGTGTGTGCACAATGAAAGACAAACGACGACGAACTGACTGGCTTGCTGAGGCAAGGAAAGGTGCACAACTTGCTCAGAGCCGTCAGACAGGCAGTCAGCGGTCGACAGACACTGTGTTGGGTTGTTGTTGGTGGCAGCCACTGTGCTTGTGCGAAACCAGTATGAGCAATGTATCTGGTAGGTTGAGTTACAGAAACACACTCGCATGCACAAATAAACAAACGAACTGACGTCTATACGGCCGATGTGTAAGAAAGAACAGAAAAAGACGGCGCAACAACAAAGCCAGCTAACGCTGGGCCAAACTCCGTATGAGCGACAGAAAAAACCGAGGCGCAAAAAATCGACTGAGAAAAAGTGTTGTGTGGAAAGAGGCAAGATGTATGTCCGCATGCAGGAGGTAAGAGAATTCACAGATGCAACAACAAAAACTGCTAAATAGACTGTGTAGCAACAACTCGCCTGGGAGGTGTGAGTAGCTCCGCCATTATCGACCACCGGGCTGAGGGTGCAAGCAGTGTTACGCGGTTGGCACTCATTGAGACGCAACAACAACGCGTTGCAAGAGCTACAAGGAGAGTCCGCCGAAAGGCGAAATGCTCTGGGTTAAAGAAAATTTAATTTAAATTTTGTGGTTGGAAGTCAGACGGTTTTCGGCTGGAAGGCTTGTCGAGAGAGGTGAATTGTAGAATGAAAAAGTTTAAAGAAGCTTGGTATGGCGTGTGTACGCGACAGAGCGAGAGCATTCTATGGTGATGAGCAAATGCGCTTTGTTGTTATTCGTCTGTTTCTTCTCATGCTGAGCCGCCTCCTTCTCCTGGCAATTCCAGCTAAACGAGAGAGCCGCTCCAGTTCATCATGTGGCAAATAAGCCTTGCTGGCCCCCGTGTGATGGGCTGTGTCACACGATGAGGCAGGAATAATAAAAACAATAACAAATACGGCATCAACTACACTATGATTATGCGTTGATTTCTTGTGCTCTGCAGCTCTTCAGCGTTGTAAAATGAGCGATGATGAGTTGTTGCTGCCGCGCGATTTGTACTGACTGCGTACAAAGTAATGGCGCACAGGCATTGTGCGAGGGGTGTGGTGGGCACTCGCGGTGGGAGAATGGGTGGTGATTGCTTGTTTGGCTTGGCTTCGCTTGCCGCGTTCGTCATAATTCATTCACAATTAAAAATGTCGGCGACGAGTTGTGTTGTTGTTGTTATGTTGGATGAATGTTGGCCTCTCATTCGTCCGCACTGCGGTAGACATATGTTTCTTAGGAGCAAACCGACTTGGCGAGCTTGTTAGTCGGTTAGTTAGCAGAAGGAGGGGCTGGAGTAGTAATTTTCGGATTTCTTCTGCTTTTCCATTTTCCACTCGTCGTTGTATTTATGAAGTGTAAACGTTTTGGCTGCGGTTTTTGAGCATTCACTTCAACGCTTCTCACACCACGCTCCCCGCTCCAACATCAGCCAACTGCTTCACGAAGCGTGAGGCTATTTTTTACGCTCAATTTTATTTCTTGCCTTTTTTTCTTACTCAAAACATAATTTTAGACCTTTTTTGCCAGCAGTTTGCGTTGTTGTTGTTGATGTTCCGTTATGTTTCCAACACGTTCCTGTCAGTCGCGATGTACGAGTAAATATATTTTTGAGTAGTTTTTCTTTTATTGTTGCATGCCACATATGTATTTTGAGCGTAATTGGTGGTGTGTTGCAGACACAAACACACGCATATATGCAAAGTTTACCTCTCAGCTGGCTGTGTGTTTAATGAGCTTTGTTGTTATACAATTTTGAAAATGTTGCTGCTGCTGCCTTTGGCGATTACTTGCTGTCCCTGCCGATTGTTGAAGTGTAACGAGTTTTATTGCTTTTATATGAGTAAGTGTATGCATGGTACTGTGTGTGAGGGTATGTGAGTGCTCAGCGCTTATTGTTGTTGTTTATGCGTTGACTTTTGTGTTGAACTGTTGAAATGTTGCTGTTGACTCCTTATATTAATACTCCGAATTGTATTGTATGAATGTACAAATGTATGTATATACATATGTAAGTAAAAGTAGACTTAGTCGAAGAAATGTCCTCATGGAAATGCTATGGGACATTTTTTTGTTTTAAATGCAATTTATATATTCCAAATCAGTGGTATTTATTACATATGTACATACATACATACATACACGTACATATTCTTATTTTTGTCAACAAAAATGCTTAGTAATCCTCCTAGCAGAAAAATAATTTTTTACCCTTACTTTTCTAGAGGTAAAAAGCAGTGCGGAATACTTTTTGATAGACCCTTTGAATGGGTTTTCGGTTATTTAAAAAAATATTAGAAAGGTAAAATTAATAACTTAAAAATATTTGGAAAATAAAAAGATAATTACAGGCCGATTCTCACTGTTACCGGTAAAGTAAATTTTGTTACTTTTCTTTAACACCCGAAATTGAATTTGGTATTCTGGCGAACTGGTCAATTTTCGAAAAAATTAAAGGACTATTTTTTAGTCTCGAAAACTTCTTGAATTACGGCTTTTCGCACTTTTTTTTATCATCTTCAATGAATTCCAGGCCTAAAATATGCCTACCCATTTTGGTTTTTTATTTTTTCTTAAACTTGCAACACGAAATCAAACTGCAGATATTTTTGTTACCTCCTATTTCGCTGGTAACAAAATTTACAGGGTTACAGTGAGCTCAGAATACGAAATGGTAACAAAATCTACTTAATGGTAATATTTAATATTTAAGTAAATTTTGTTACGTCGACTGAATAGGCCTGTTAGGAAATTCACAAGATTTTTCTTATGTCTTTTGTCAACCTTCAATAGTCTCAAGACAATACGACACTTGTATGCCAGATTGTGTAAGATTTCTTCTGCCGCACTCCACTTATGCGCCGCGTTAAAACGGGGACGTTTTGGTCTACACTACAATAAAACCATTTGCAATCATATAAACAGCAAAATCTTTTTTTGAATTCAATTTACCTAAATATCGTGGCTTCCTTCCACACTATCAAATGATTTGATGAAATTTAGTTTATTTATTTATTTTAATCAAAAAATAAAAAGATGCAGCTTATAGAATAGCATACTCAAAAGAACATACATAACTGGAGACAGACAAGAAACCTTTTGGGAATGATAAAGAGGTAATTTTATTTTAAATAAACTCATTTTCTCGAAATACCAATTGCGGACAACACTTTTAGTCTATTTCCATTGACAACAATGGCATCCACAGCAGGTCTCGAATATTTTTTTATTATTGTATTAATTTTTAAAAATATATTTCTGGAAATCTTCATACTCGTACATTTAAAAAAGTCTTCGTACGTGGGTTTGTCATTGGACATTTTCTAAAAGGCTGCGGCGATTTCAATGAAAGTTTCTGTGTGTTCTAAAGTGGATTCTAGAATGATTCGAATATAATCCTTTATTTATTTGCCTGAATGTGGAGTAGAGATCGATCTATTCGAAAAAAAATCGATACCTATGCTGGTTCTGTGAAGAAGATTCCTCTCACAGGAGATTAACGATACCTAGAGATGCAAGATCTTATAAGCATGCGAATACACGATTTCTAAGAAATCGTTAGCGCACTGAGAGCCGGGCAGTGATAGTAAAGTTGTTTGAGAAACAGCCCATTTTTCTAGCTACCATGAGTCCCCACAACACATTGTCCGATTAATACGCCAGTTAAATAGTTCTGTTCACTTCGATAAATTGCACTTGGTTTCGCTCTGTCATCTGCTGTTGGCCTTTCTGGTGAAGGCTAGCCTTAACTTACACTTAGCCGATGGAAGAACCTAATAATTACCTCCTTTATGTGCAGAGTTTACCGGCGCAGTTCCCTGGGGTGTCCCTAGCGAAATCGCGGACGTTGTAGTCAAGAAGACCTAGAGATCTTGGTTTTGGGAAAAGTAAAAAAATTACTCTTTCCATTTTATTTCTAATAACAAGCATCCAGCAAATTCTTTTCTTAGTTCTGCAGCCTAAAAAGAATGCCTTGAAACAAATATTTGAGTAGATCCTTACGTGTATTTAATATTATAGCATCTGCATCTCGAAGTTGAATATTTGATGGGTGTCAAGATCAAACATTTCTGAGCAAACACGTTTAGTGTCTCAAAAATTATGAAGTGAAACCACCTTATGGGATTTTTGTATCATGGCTAGCTTTACATAGATTATCTTAAAATTGGATTATCGGAATGTGGGTCAATTTATTCGCATAAAGTGCAGCAAGACTTACTTTAAATTATTTTTTTGTCCAGCAAGTGAACTAGATATCGATTCAAAAAAAAAAAAAAAATAAATAATGATGATCCGATTGGTTGGGCTTTTGTTTGAGTATATGGAGCTTTTAAGATATAATACTTTTTTTCATACATAAGGACCAGGCACCAAAATCACTTAGCTTGAAATTTGATTTCATGGTGGCTTTAGAATGAATTCTTTCCGAGCGATGAACACCAAGAGATCGACCAAATTTGCATAAATAGATTCCAATGCAGATCGTGTGTGAGTTTGTTCGTCACGACTTTTTAGTTTACATACGGAAACTATTGTTCAAAGTATTGGCGATTTCAATCCATTCTTAATGTTAACGTTGTTGTATGAAGGGGAAATTATTATTATTTAAACGTGAATGCAAAAGACAATACAAAAACAAAT